CTGTTAGTTGGAGTTATAGTAATTTTAACTTATTGTAGGCTTAAATCTCAACAGAGGATATGGATTATTTTGGATTTTAAATTAACTTTTCAAGGTTGTTTTATTTTGCATTTGATTTTACTTTTAGTTGAACTTACAAGGGGAACACACCGAATTGATAAGAGAATTTATTAAAAGTTTCATCATGCGTTTCTTACCAGTTCTACACACACCATACATATTTTATCTTGTATTTTATATTGGGTTCATTTTTACTTTTTGATGTAAATAAAGATTGAGATTTGTGACAACAAGAAATTTTGGTTCAATGACCAAAGGATGTCGCTTTTGCAGAGGTGTGTGCTGTTTCCGAGTAGGAGAATGGCTAGACTATTTCACAATCCAATGAGTACTCCAAGTTCAAAATAGCACAGAAAAGCCCTTTCTGCACGATGTATGGTATACGATTTGGACGAGGTTGAAGCAAAAGCCGAGTCAGGGTTTAATGCAAGTAAAATGCAAAATCTGGGGGAATCCCTCTCCTGGACCTGGGATTTTGTCAATGCTACAAAAGTCCCTTGAAACCATTATCATGCAGCTACGAGCTCAGACAGGGGAACAGATATCATACCAAAAGGAATGGCGAAGTTCTCCTTCTGAGGCTAAGCCTTAGCATAAGTGAAACTCAGATGATATGGAATAATTGGGGTGACAGGCAGATTAAGGTGTCTGAGTGGAATTCTCTCTATAGGCCCTCTAAATATTCGCCAACCAGAGAGGCAGAACCCTGCCTTTAGTCAATTTCCAATCATCCAGATAGATACGCAAAGGGCTGTTAGTGAAACATCAAGCACTCGCTGATCAAATTGGGGAGTAGTGGAGAGACACCTCATACCTCCACACGTTGTCAGCTTATTCTCTCCATTCGCTTGTCATACAAAGATCCGCCTATAACACTTTTATGTATACTTTTTGATAGTAAAACAAAGTATATATAAACCAGAAAAGAGTGGTACATGTGAAAGCACCTAGAAAAAATTTTGAACAAAACACGTGTAGAAACATAAACAAGTCTTTACTTTGTCTTGCTGATTCGTCTTCAGGGATGATTAAATTATCCGTGGCAGTTTTCCAGAGGTTGTTCCGGTCGGCAGTAGGGTTAGTGGACGGTGGGGCAAAGACATGGTTGCTGGTTTTTCTCGGCAATGGTCTTACCACCCTAAAGTGAAATAAATGAAAATAGCAACCACGGGTTAATATATTTTCTGTTAATGGTCGGGAAGAGATAACCACCTTCATAAAAGGGATATTCCTTCCGTTTTCCTAGACGAAATCTATGAACAGCGTGGGTTGTAGTCTTAAGATCTAGCTCTAAAGCTTCCTTGATGTCCTGATGAGATATGGATAAATCCATCCTCAAGAAGCTGCAAGATGAACTAGAGCTTCTCCTTGGTGAGCGGCAGATGACTAACGGAGTTGAATTCTATGTTGTCTTCCTGGTTGGACGGTGTTTTCTCAGGCAAGAATCTGGCGTTGGGCTTGTACTTTCTCGCGAAGTCGCAGACTTTCTTGAGAAAGTATGGGATGAAGTTTCCGTTGTTGGTAACTGGAAGGATCCTAGATAGACTGTGCTCCGTCTTTGGTTCACGGGACTTTCTGGTTACTGCCTGACGTAAAGTGTCAATAGAGTGACATTAATCATTGCACAATCCAGTTCAACATAGAGATCAGTAGTATAGAATAATATTATATAAGAAGTTAGAAAACACTAAATTTGACCAATTTATTTTCGTATATTTAATTTACTCAGTTTTAATTTTTGTGTGTGTAATGATCATCCCTTTTAGTTTTTAATTTCGAAAGTATGTTACACTATAACTATTTATCTTAACAATATAGTCTGGTCCAAAGGAGATCTTAAAACATGTGATTTGTGTTTCCCATGCAGCTTGTATCGTAGGGACTAATTACAGTCATTAAGTGAAATTAAGCATAATACATTAAATAGCAAACCATGTTCACTAACATGTTTGAAAAATTTAAAAGTATCTTGTAAATGTATTTCAATGGTGTTTCGAAGGAAGTTTCCTGTTTTTCGTTACGCCAATATCTTATTTGCCCACTTTCTTCCCATGGAAAGTGTCGAAATTTAAGCAACAAAGCTAAGTTTGGGTAAATTATGTTTTTATGTTAGTTTTAAGTCAGAGTAAATCACTTTCTTGATTAAAAAAATTAAATGCAATATCAATCTCACATTTACAAGGTGTATTAAAACAGATATAGAAACGAAATAGACATTTGAAAGGAACCATATTTGAAGATTGTTGTAAAATATAATCGCATAATATAGTTGCAACATTGTTCTTGTGTCGAGCTAGTTCTTTTAAATTATTTGGTGAAAATAATTCCTAGTCCAGTCCACTTAAAGATAAAATGTTAGTCTATTTTCCTTAGGGTTTCTACAAGCTTGTACACTGTTTTAGTCCTCTATTTACAAATGACGTTCAAACCGGAAAAAAAACACGCTAACTGTACCACAGCTAACGTAAAAATATACTTACTTATACAATTTCCCTAGTGATAGATCAAGTAACTGAATATACGCATTAGATAACACTGATCCAAATACTTTACTGAAACTAGCGTTCTACCAACAGAAAAAACAGGCTGATTCACTATTAGCTTATAGCAAAACACGCTGACTCAGTACTTCACTGATTTTTGTATTTATAATGTTCTCTCGCCTTTTGATATTCATGTAATTTAATAGATTTATATGACGTCAAATTTAGAACTTTCTAAATATTCTAGGTTTAATTTAACGTCAAACGCTATGTAGATAACATCTAAATTGAAATGTTTAAAATATAGCTTAGAACACTACTGATAGCTTGAAGTTTTTACAATAAAGGAAATACACGTAAAAGTTCTACAATATTTTACCGACCTTCAAAGTTCAACGTTCACGTACGATCAACCACAATCAAAAGATCTCTTCTTTCAATTAATGGATGTAATTGTATATTCACATTTGTATTTCATTACTTCAAAGTTTCAATCTACTAGTTCGAGTTTAGTCTCAACAAATTTGCAATTTATCGCTTGTTTAAACCATAAATGGAGTGAAAATAAACAAAACACTTACATCAGAAAATAGTTACACGTTTGAATAAATATATATGACGAATATTAAAATTACAAACAGGAAATATATTAAAGACTGCATAAAATGGTGTTTATAAACAACAATACAGAGTGATTTCATATCAAATAGGGTGCAACAGATTTTGAAACCGCTGATGACATCGGAGAACTCGTACAAAAGTAAGTATGCCCCCGCATTTTTGGGAGGAGCAAGCCAAAAGGGGGAGGGGGCTGAAAGGCCTAACGTACTTAAGAATTACCGACAAGGGGAGAGACATACAATTTAATTTGTTTGATCTTAAGAGCAGTTGTACTATTCTGTTGAGTTAATGATATCAACCAGTAAGACTCATAACTACAATTACAGAGAAATAAATGTAGGGGGCCCAATTACTTTTTTATACATGTGGGAATCTGTCTTTTGTAGTTACGCTACAGACTCAACACCAAGAACATTTTTTTAAAATTGAAACCAAGTAGAATTAATTGTATTTCTGCTGATTCCACTATAAACTTGTAACGGTCATTATCAAACACTTTTGCTCTAGCTTCTTTATTTGTTTGTTTTTCAAAATTTCTCCGGAGATTTCTTTTGCTAAATAACTTATGATGTTAACAAGGTGAGTTTCATTAATTACCAGGAATTTTGTTTCTTTTCTGTTGTATCCACTTTCGTTGTAATTGATTTCCTATGTGATATGATAATAAATTTTATAATTTAACGTCTGTGACTAAAATCTGTCCGAATATTGTTCTGGATTGTCCTATGTACATAAGAATAGTAAAAACAACAAACATGTAAATTTAAAAATGCTTCTTTTATTTCGATATTTGACAAATGATTCAACCAGAGGCGGAGTAGTGTTCTTGGGTGGCAGGGCAAGGAACAAAAAAATTCCGGTAACTGATTCTAGGAGGTTGTGCATACACCACTGGAACGTTCGGAATTTGTTACATCCAAATTTGCAATGTATATGATGGGAAGCCTGGATTTATAAGTAATTAAAGAGTCACGGAGTTCAGGAGTGGCTGCTTTACCTTACCAGCAATGGCAACTCTCTCTCTTTTTTTGACCCTCAAATCAAATTATGCAACCTCTCTTCATTGTACAATTGAGGCAGAAGGCTTTGTTTTTGATCTAACAGAAGGCTTCTGATACTATGATTTCTAATCTTGTAAGCACCGAACCTATTTTTAAGTGCTACCACACCATCTTTAGACTTTATTGATGGATTTACCTCAAAAAGGGTTGTCAAAAAGTCCATCGTGACTGTATCCACAGTGACTGATGATGATGGAACTAGCATAAGTTGGTCAATTTTTGCCCAGTTTGAAAACTATAAATTGTAATCACCTTATTTCATCGTATGCTACATCCTGTATAGGTTTCACCAAAATTGGATAAATCGCGGATTATTTACTTCCTTTTTCTGCCACCAAGGTGCCTCTGCTTGAGGAAGAATTCGTATATTTAAATTGCTATTTGAAAAACGAAACTATAAGTGAAACTGCCATTCAGAATGCATCTCTCAAATGAACAACCCACGTAGGTACTATCATGTCATAATGATATGTAATGCAGCTGTTCCAGATAGAGATTTTACTTTTATCATAGAGCAGAGACTGAAAATGAGTTTCAAATGGAAGATAACCTCATAAGCAATATCAAGAAACCTACGATTAGCGCGAAAAATTATGAGTTGGGGCTGTTAATAGTTTTTAAAATTGTGTTTCTCTTTAATAGTCTTTATCTTATTTTTGCTTTAATAAAACAAGTTTTAAAAAATAACCATTAACAAACAAGATATCTAAACTTTTTGGATGATTTTATACAATTTCACAACTAATTGATCGAATCACTAAAATCATATCTAACACTAATCTAAATACCTCACTGCACGACTGTCTCTCTGTCAAATAAAGAAAAAAATACTAAATGCTAAATTGATTCAATGCTAGCTTATTAATTGACTGTCTCAATCATATTTATATCTAATGTCTCACTTCTACATATTCATCGAAGTTACTAGATTTTCGTGGCGTCATCTAGAACATTCTAGGTATTTCGATGACGAGGAACCCACTTTGAGACTAATAATGCTTGGAGACAGCTTGAATGGGTATACCTGATTATGACAAAACCTTGTCGAAACGTTGTACATTTGCTGTTCTGTTAAACTTATATTAAAGTTTTTTCTTCATTACCTATTTAACCTGTCTCCAAGCATTCTAGGTATTTGCATTCGTCGTGGTGAGTTTTGGTTTAAATTATACAGATGATAAATTTAATCATCCCGCTCTTGGTATTATTACTTGGTAAGGAAGATTCAGCCAGAAATGGGAGGATATAAAATAGGGATGTATACTATTTGCTACGCTTGGGGTAGTGATAAGCGAAGCGTTGGTGAAGTTGCGAGAAGCCTAGAGAAGGAAGAAGACGAAGAAAGCCAGAAGAAGAGGAAGGGGAGAAGCTGGAAGTAGTGCTAAGTGTCGTAGTTCAGTTTGACGTACATTCTAAATATTCTAGATCCGCTTTTATAAACTTTTCTGTCTCAACGGCATACGCCTTCTAGCTAAATTCTAAATTAAAACATTGAAAATATAGCTTTCATCAGCATACAGTCAGTTTTTGTAAGGCTTGTGAGAGTACTGTTTTGAGCTCTGTTTTTAATATTATAATTTGTTTGTTAGTTTCAGGGAATTGCGGGTCGTAAATGATACCGTTAAGATAGGCTTAGAAATATTTTTGCTAACTGTTCTAGCAAATTTGAAGCTAGTTTATAAATATTTTTTTTTACCATATAATTTAAAAGAACCCACTACCGAAAGAAAAATCTTACAACAGTATTAAAGTCGCTTTTTAATTTTGGAATGAAATTAACGTTGGGGTTAACTCCGCAATGTATTTATTGAAAGCAATCTTTCAACAACAAACCAAAGTCCGATACCGCAAAACTTACGAAAGAAGATACGTTGAAATAACTTAGTAATGAAAACAAGAACTTATGTGTTTTGTTTTTTTTATCTTCTTATAAAGGCGGAGCTACCGTTATGAATAGGACTAACCACGAAAACAAGATTTCAACTCGTATATCCAAACCTTGTTATCAGCAGCTGCAATAAAATGAATTAAAACAACTTTATAAACTATCTTAAACGACTTGGAGAAATTCCCGAAGTAATTTCTTATAATCAAAACCAGACGGAATATACACCAGCTATAATTTTTGACGAAAAAGTGCGGAGTAAACCTAAGCTCACATAAAATGTGCCACATCGACCTTAAAAACAATAACGATTTACTTAAATAAATTACATCCGGGTTGATATTCATCACTATTTAGTATTCGCATGGCCAGGTGGTTAGGGCGCTCGACTCGCAATCTGAGGGTCGCGGGTTCGTATCCCCGTCACATCAAACATGCTCGCCCTTTCAGCTGTGGGGGCGTTATAAGTAACGATCAATCCCACTATTCGTTGGTAAAAGAGTAGCCCAAGAGTTGACGGTGGGTGGTGATGACTAGCTGCCTTCCCTGTAGTTTTACACTGCTAAATTAGGGACGGCTAGCACATTTATTATTTATATGTTCAGTTTAATTTCATATTAATTAAGAAGGCTTATTAATTTATTTTTATGTCAAAATGTAGTTTAGAATTACTATTAATAGTTTTATTCAATTCCTGAGCTGGACAATTCTAGCAGAAACCTTTCTTAGTTAACACATTTCAATTTACAATACAACATATTCATGTGAACCAGCTATTTTATATCTGATGTCGGATAATTAATTAAGAACATCCCAGACACATTTATATATATTTAGTATTCGTTGCTATGACAGTTGCATTTCTCGTTACACTCGCGCATAATTCAATAGCTACCAGTTTTGTTATTATAAGAAACTAAAGACTCGTTATGAAATGGTGTAAATAAGCCTTTGTTTTTAATGTATTGTTGCTCTATGTTGGTTGGTTGTTAAGCACAAAGCTACACAATGGGCTGCCTGTGTTGTGCACAACACGGGTATATAGCATTATAAGCCGACATACTTACCGCGAGAAACTGTGTATTCAAAGGCGAATACGTTTATCGCGGACGTTCAAATAAGTCAAATAATTTCTCACTATCTGTCTTACGATCAATTTAGGAGTTAATGTCGTGATCGATAGAACATAAAGCTGGCTTAATCTGGTTAACATTCAAAATGTACCGTCTAAAGATTTACGTATCACCACAGTGAGACAGAGATGTAAATGATTTTCACTTATACTTTCACCTTTATTTTTTGAGTGGAATTTAATAAATCTATAGCATGTTTCATATTCTTTTGATTCATAAAACAACATAGTTTTTCACATAAAGTAAAATGTAATAATTTCCGAAGAATTCAGGTAAAATGTTTCAAGAAACTTGTAAAAAATTCCTGCGGATTTCTTTTGTGTCTGGTAGTATTACCCAAAATATTGATATTAGCTATTACCCAAAATCCACAAACCCAATCTACGAATTATACTAATTGTGATCTGAACTTATAGTCCTCATTATAATACAGCTTGACACGTTGCTGGCTTACTTTGCCCCCTAGTGGTACAGCGGTATATCTGCGGACTTACAACTCTAGAATCCAGGTTTCGATACCCGTGGTGGGCAAAGCATAGATAGCCCATTGTGTAGCTTTGTGCTTAATTACAAACAAACTGGCTTACTCTTTTTTTACTCGCTTACCACGCATGCTCATATCTTAAGAACTCTTCGGATCTCGTACAAAAAATTTCATAAATTAGTAATTGATGTCTACACTTCCTTTACCCTAGTTTTAACCAAGGACGTTGAAGATGGTGTAACATAAATATCACGAACATTGTTGAACTCCATCTAAATTTTCTCTTATATCTATTTCTTTTAGAAATATGTTTTACTTCTCGTTAATTTACTTGGAAACAAAAGGACTTGAAGGAAACAAAAGATAGATCTGATATATTGTTTTTACAAACCTTTGATTTTGAATCTGAAATATACAAACTTGGAGGAGTATGGAAAAGAAACCCATCTGCAGTTTATATGAATTTTTTATTACATACTTCAATCCCATCGATTTCTAATTATTTCCTAGATTTCGACGTTTAAACCGTAAATTGCTGAATAAAAGTCTGTTGTCTTAGTATTGGATCTCTATTTACGTATATATATACATTTTTATGAGTTGTAATAATTCGTTTCTTTAACCTTTTTAGTTGTTTGTAGGGCAAACTAATGCACGAAAAAAAGCATTTATTTGAAGTACTTAAAATACGAAAAAATTGCTTATTCTGATATGTATACACTATAAGAAAAAAACAACAACACACATTCATATGCCATTTAATATTAGACTACAATAATTTGTATATAAGCATTTCTAAGAGTAATTTTTTATACATTGTTGAGTATGCATATAGTTTGGGATCTTGTTTTAAAATTTTTTACGTTTGACCTGCCATGTAAGAATTGTACCAAAATTAAAACTTAAGCTCTTTAGTCACTTTTGAATGTCGCTTAAATTCTTTGACTCAGCTGTCACTGTTTTAATTGTCGGGTTTTGAATAAGAAGCAGAATACGGACGTCCACAAGAAGGGTTGATATTCTCCCAGTAACTACGACAAGCTCTGGAATAGTAAAGACAGAAAGAATATAGTAAAAAAAAAAAACAATTCTGTGGTTAAATATATAAGAAAAATATGAAAGTACTTAGAAAACCTGTAGTAGGTTCAACAGAACAACTCTTCTCTCACATTATCTATCCATAAATTAAAGATATACCAAGGACATTACGTTGCTCTAACCTAAGGTTTGGTATG